GCTCCCTCAGATTTTTGCTAGGCTCACTTAATACCAGAGGTTGCCAATGCTTCTCTCATAGTTAGCATTCTTCCTTCTCTCTTCTCTGACCCATTCATTTATTCATTGACTCATTCGGCCCATGTTACTGAACAGCTCTTTGCCGCGATGTGTACTAGGCATTTGTGACTTAAGTCGGGCGGAGAAGGTCTTACCTTTCAGTAAAAGTTCAGTGTGCTTTATTACACCTTAGTCTTTTGAGTCATGAACAGTAGAAAAGTGTAGCAGTGTGGCATGGAAAAAAGAGCAAAGATTTTTAGAGCCAAAAACTGAGTTCACATCATGGCCCTTCCAATTAGTAGTTCTGTGGTTCATACAAACCACTTAAGAATTAGCCATAATGTCTATAAAATTTCTAATCTAGGACTTGGCATGTAAGACCTCAATAAAAATAGCCATAATTATTTTATAAAATGGTAACTTTGAAAATATATTTTGGTTGAACATAAGAGATATTTGATATTACCGAATGCATAAAAAACTCTTGTGAAAAATCTTAAGCATACCCTTCCATTATTTCAAAGATGAACAATAAGTCAATCGAAGAAATAGCAATCTGAACTAATTTAGATATTCCATTATATTTTTTCAATTACCTTTAAAGCTTATAACCAACATAAAACTGTTTGGCTTGCCTAAAATTTTCTTTTTGCCATAGATATAATAGAAACCACAAGGGCAATATATGTGACAAATTTTGGCTGGTAAAATAAGCAACCATTTTATATCCCACTATAAATGTAGCTTCACAGAGAGAGGCTTTCCCTTCAAAGACACTTATCACAGTCCAGAAACAATTAAAAATTCAGAAAAAAAGGGCACTATTTATTTTTTTATCCCACCTTTATATCTTGTACTCACATACCAATGCCAGAAAGATCTCCAGTTTCAATATCGGGAAACAAAGTTTATGTTAAGAAGGATATGCTTATAAAATAATACATCAAAAATTATTTGAGTCTATCTCATTAAAGCCTCAAGTCAGAAAGGAATTTATATTTTTAGAAGGGC